CACACACACACACACACACACACACACACACACACACACACACACACACACACACACACACACACACACACACATTCATATACAGAAGTTACTTTAAACCAGGGGTCACCAATCTCGGTCCTGGAGGGTCGGTGTCCCAGCAGTGTTTAGCTCCAACTTGCCTCAACACACCTGTCTGGGTGTTTCAAGTATACCTAGTAAGACCTTGATAAGCTTGTTCAGGTGTGTTTGATCAGGGCTGGAGCTCAAATCTGCAGGACACCGGCCCTCCAGGAACACGTTAGGTGATCACTGCTTTAACAAAAACTAAAGCTATTGGTCTAAAAACATTTTGTTAACCGAAATAAAATTAAAAACTCACAATAAATGAAAAACTGAATGAAATAAAATAATAATTAGCAACAATAAATCATCGTTTTCAGCTTATGATGATTTAGAGCTCGGTGTTAGCGCACCTTCACCAGCTCGAAGGGGAAGCGCTCGTGGAAGATGCGGTTTATTCGAGCTCCGCCGGAGAGTTCCAGAGTGTCCACCTGATCTCCAGAGCCCTCGATACGCTTCTCAAAGTCCACACCGAACTGCTGGACCATCCTGAACACACACAGGTATATTTATATACAGCTGGGGACATAAGTGTTGAACACGTCGCCCTTTTTCTCAGGAAACATATTCCTAAAGGTGCTGTTGACTTGGAAATTTGGAAAAAGAAATGACGCAGGGAAACAGTATTGAACACATGAAGAAAGGGAGGTGTAGTTGGGCAGTGAAAGCCCAGACAGCAGCTGAAATCTCTCAGTAGTTCTTCAGCAACCCTCTGCCCTTCCTCAACTGCTTCAGTCCAACATCTACATCAGCAGGAGGATGAAGATCAAACCATTTCAGCAAGACATGATCCAAAACACAACCGAGGAGACTCTCAGATGCTTTCAGAGAAAGAAAATCAAGCTGTAGAATGGCCCAGCCCATCACCTGACCCCAATCCAATAGAGAAAACAGAACAAAGCTCAGATCTGACACACGAGATTCACAGAAGCATCAAGATTTGGACACTGAGAAACTCACACCTGAGCAATTTCAATTGTGCATATATATATATATATATATATACACACACACACACATTCACAACACACAAGGAAACACACATGCACAGACACAGTTTCACAGTTACTTACACGCACAAACACAAACAGGGATACATAATTAAGCACACAAACACACACACGCGCACGCACACACAATCATCTTGTCTAGATGCACAAAGTTTTTCACTGCTGTTCACACTCACACACACACACACACACACACACACACACACACACACACACACACACACACACACACTCACTGAAGCAGGGCTTTGGTTTTGCGCGCAGGATCGTCTGGTTTGAAGTTCTTGTACTCCTCCACCTCTTTCTCCAGCGACAGCAGCTGAGACTGCAGTTTACTGCGCAGCGCCGGCAATGTGTCGCGGATGTGGTTCGTCAGTTGCTGGAAGAGTGGAGAACAAAAACAATAGTGTCCCCACAAGTATAGCAATACCAGTAAACTTTGACTCTGTGTTGACACTTTTGGGTCTCCCAGAGGAAAACAGCTGATAAGTCAGACAGAATGAAGGACAGTGAAGATGTGGAGTGCAGAGTGTTTGTTCAGGGTGGAGTGTAGAGGGGAGAGGAGAGAATATGCAGTGTGTACAGCACAAACATCAGGAATGCTGCTGTGATGAGAGACCACAGATACTAGTGTGTGTGTCTGGTTGAGTTCTTCAGTTTTCTGCTGGTACAGTGTGTGTGTGTGTGTACCTGGTTGAGTGTTTTCTGCAGGTACAGTGTGTGTTTGTGTGTACCTGGTTGAGTGTTTTCTGCAGGTACGGTGTGCCCATTCTCTCTGCCATGTGTCTGTATGCTGGATGGGACAGGAAGAACTTCCTCTCAGCAGCCAGGGCCGCACGGATGTCCTTCCTGCCATCAATGTCCTTCTGACTGCGGTTCACCACACCGATATAACCTACACACACACACACACACACACACACACACACACACACACAACTAAAATTTCCATTTTTGGATGAACTACCCTTTTAACCCCAGGTAAACGTCTCGTATTGGTCTGATATACTCAGCGAGTGTTTTTCAGTCAACAATAAACTTCAGCTGAAAGGTTTCTCTGACTATCTTCAGTGTTATTCGGTTGCTTTACAGCATGGATGTTGTGATGTAATGAAATTTACTCAGCGAACAGACTTTAGCATTCATTCAGTTGTTGAAGTGTAAAACGAGATGAAAGACTGTGTAAACTCAAGCGCCGTCAGGAGCAGCAGGCCAGCGCATGTCCATATTTTAAAGAGACGCTGCAGAACAGTGTGATTAAATGCAGCGCGTCTCGTCTGGTCATCACATGGCATATCCATCAGGCAGTAAAGATCAGTGATTTGAAAAGAAATCAGACGTTAAACTGTGATTTTGTGATGCATGATGACCGTCCACTGGAGGCGCCGACTGACTGAAGTGAAGTGTGTGTGTGTGTGTGTGTGTGTGTGTGTGTATACTCCATGCTGTTAGTAATGAAGTGTAGATTGTAAAGCTGCAGATGAGCTCCAGCACCTCTGCGCAGCGGCAGCAGCTTGTTCTCCAGGATGTCTCTGGCGTCGGTTCCTTCGTCCATCAGGTCCAGTTTGGTGATCACACCGATGGTGCGCAGACCTGCAGGGGAAGGTCAAAGGTCAGTTTCAGCAGCTGACACAGTTCTCACTATTATTGTTTTTTCTCTCAATTCATTTTTTTTCTTGCAAATCACATTTCTTTTGCTCACAATTCAGTTTTTCTGCATATGTCAGAGTTTTTTTCTCTTAATTTCAGGTTGTTTTTCTCCAATTCCACCTCTTGATCTTGCAGATCAGATTTTGTCCTTCACTGAATTCTGATTTGAAAGCTG